CGTACCGCGTATCGTAGTTTCGCAACGTGCTCGACTCTCGTCCGACCGTTGGAGCTGAACCACCGAGTGCGTGCCCATGCACCGAGTTCGAGTTAAACCACCGAGTGTGTGCCCCTGCACCTAGTTCGTCTGATCTCCCGTATACGCGCCGTTTCCGTTAGTCGCGGTCCAAGCACGCTTCCGCGTCAGTGATAGGGCTGCAAACGAGCTCGAGCTCGACTCGGTGAGAAAATACAGGAGCTGGAGCTCGGCTGGAGCTCGACTCGAATTCAAAGTGCTCGCGCTCGGCTCGGGTTCAGTTTGAGTTTTTTTAAGCAATTTTGTAAAATAATCACTAAATACATATATATGCAAGGGCATTTTAGTAATTTCATATATCTCGAGCCGCTCGACAATGTAAATATGGGCTCGAGCTCGACTCGTTTGTAGCCCTAGTCAGTGACCACGACATCGTTTTCAAACTCGTGTATCGACTAAGCCGTGTCAGCCGAGTTCATGCCGAAGTTGCCACGCCGAACCCGGACCACAGTTAAATCGAGCTGCACATAGTCAAGAGAATGACCCTATGGCTCCGAGTGAGCCTTCGATCTAGTTCAGTCGAACTAGTTTGAGCAGTGCGGACGGTTCAAAGAGAATTTCTATTCACCTGAATCAGTCCGGGTAGTCCGGACGGTTCAAATAATTTTTGATAGATTTAAAATCCAGATATATTTTAGATAATTGTTCTAATTTTGATAGCACGAAGACTTGTTTATTCTGCTATCTTAACTCTCAGTTTTTAGAATGCTCGGGCTTGATGTTTGCTCATGCATCCATTATAATATAACTTACTTTTGTTCATGGCCACCGAAAATCGTACGTTTGTACTCCCAGATGAAAGTACTGCTCCTTCGTGAGCCCGCAGTTTGGGGCGTGATTGTTGCATTGCATGAACCAGAAAACATAATAACCATCCTCGTCATATGTTCTTTAGAGAAAAAAGAAAATGAAAAAAAAAATTAGACAAAAAATAAAAATTAGAAAAATGAGAAAATGAAAATAATGAAATTAGAGAATCTTACATTCTCCCCAAATTCAGCCATATATACTTCATATAGTCCAGGCATATGAGCCTTTGCTGCTCATAGCCTTCCTTATCCTCTTCTTGAAAAACTGAACTTCAACATGATTGGGGTATTCCTTCATTGGGCATGCCTTACTTAGGTTGAACAGCACGGAGTCGCGGACTCCGTGTAATACAAAGCGATTGATATTTTTGGTCACCGGTATCCATTTGTGATATGATCGATCCACATTGCTTAGTTTGTACTGTTTATCATCGTGTCTCTTCGCATTATATGAAAAGACCCAGACAAAGACACTATGCAAATTCTTCTTTGTTGGAGGGAGAAAGGGGCACTTGTTGATGTAGAAAGATGGAATAATTAAAAACAAATATGAAATCATACCATTAAAAATTGGGGTGAACCCCAAGTGACGTCGCTGTATAAATTTAATTAATGTCCGAATATACAACGAGGTCACTTGGTGGTTTACCAATTTTTAATGGTATGATTTCATATTTAATTTTAATTATTCTATCTACATCACAAGTGCCCCTTTCTTTGACTGAGTCTTTTCATATAACGCGAAAAGACACAATGATAAACAGCTAGACAATGTGGATCGATCATATTACAAATGGATAACGGTGACCGAAAATATCCATTGCTTTGTATTACACGGAGTCCGCCACTCCGTGCTGTTCAACCTAAGTAAGACATGCCCAGAGAAGGGATACTCCATGTTCACTTTTCAAGAAGAGGATGGAAGAATATGAGCAGCAAAAGCTCATATGCCTGGACTATATGAAGTCTATATGGCTGAATTCGGGAAGAATGTAAGATTTTCTATTTTCATTTTCTAATTTTTATTTTTTGTCTAATTTCATTTTCTTTTTCTCTAAAGAACATATGGCGAAGATTGTTATTATGTTTTTTGGCTCATGCAATGCAACAATCACGCCCCAAATTGCGGGCTCACAGAGGAGCAATACTTTCCTTTAGGAGTACAAACGTACGATTTCACCGTGGCCATCAACAAAAGTAAGTTATATTGTAATAGATGCATGAGCAAACATTCAGCCCGAGCATTCTAAAAACTGAGAGTTAGGTTGACAGAATAAGTAAGTCTTCGTGCTATCAAGATTAAAACAATTATGCAAGTGAACTACTACTCTTTGCTCTATAAAGATTAGTTCGTACACCTAATTTAATTTCGTACGGCTATCAATGCTCTATCATAACTTGATAGATGAAACAAAACATGATCCCACGACACCTATTTTTTAAAAGTTCCATGCATGTCAACAAAGTACTACCATTAACACACCATTGTTGTGCTGAAGAAACAAACTAGCCATCCACCCTCCACCAACCTTTTCCATTCACACACCATTTTTCAACAATGGTTTGTTTGCTTGTATATATAATTAGGCTTCTCATTTCATTCGTTCAAATTATCCTAGAGTGCGATCATTCAACCCTGAGAGTGTTGAAACCTAACTAAAAATGGATACAAAAGGATTTATAGATATGTTGTTGATAGGGAATTATCAAAAAATTATCATACTTCACTTCAATTTGCATTGAATGATTTTTTTCGAGGTTGTGTAGAAATTTCGAGTTTCTGAGTTGTGCTCGAAACTCAATTTCGAGGACACAGTTAGATTTTTCTTGTCGAGACGGGCACGGTGATATCTTACGGGCGAAAAATGGACATCGGAGCTGCTCGGATTATGAAGTTCTGGAAAAAAGAAAAACTTGAGGAAGAAGATGGTGACGTGTTGTCACATCATCTGACATGTCATCGCCACGTTAGCGAGAAGGACCCAGTCATCTGCCACGTCAGTGGTCCAGTCACTTGCCACAGCGGTCCCAGTTAGCTGCCACGTCAGCAATTGGATCCCAATCGACTGCCACATCATCTCAGTTAACCGCCACGTCATCGGTCAACTGGCACGTCATCGCTAAAAAAAAGACCTCCCCCCATTTTCGACTGTTCCGGACGTAACGGTGTTGTCTATTTTTCAAAATTCAACTCTGATGTGTCCCAAACAAATTATTGAAGGTGAAAAATGGTCACGAAAGAGTCAACTTCGTCTTCTGGAGCTTTGATTATGGTCACGACTACCAATTATACATTGTGGTAACCTCGGATGGAAGATTTCCTCAGATGTAAAGAGCTCTTTTTTCCAATAGAGCTGAAGGGTAATAACCCTGACCTGTCCAAGGAGTTAGAATGGAAGAAAATCAATAGAAAAATTATTGGTCAAATCCGACAATGGATTGATCATAGTGTCTTCCATCATGTTGCGTGTTGCACAAGAAACACAAGAAACTGACATATATAACCTTTGGAAGAAGCTAGAGGACATGTACCAGGCCAAAATCGCTCGGAATAAGGCCTTATTGATGAGACGCTTAGTCAATATGAAGTTGAAAAGTAGAACTTCTGTTGCCGAGCATACCAGTGAGTTCCAGAGCCCGGTAATAAACTATCTTGTGTTGATATGCTGCTTGGAGATGAAATGCAATATCTGATACTTCTTAGTTCTCTTCCTGATAGCTGGAAACACTCGTTCTTACTCTCAGTAATTCAGCCTCAAACGACAAACTTTTCATGTCTGCTGTCAAGGATGCCTTAGTCAATGAAGAGGCAAGAAGGAAAGACATGGACACTGATCAGGCTCATGCTCTTGTGATAGAGAATCGAGGAATTCCACAAGGCATGCAATAAAGAAGCGGCAGAGGGAAGAGAAGGGGTAGAAGCAACGGCAGGGCAAGAGCAATCGGAGATCACATGTGCGCTATCATTGTGGTCTAGAAGGTCATATGAAGAAAAATTGCTATAAATGACTCGAGGAGCAGGGCAAGAGCAATTCTCAGCCGAAGAATACTTCTCAGCAGAAGAACAAGGGCAATGGTGGTGAAACTCTCATCACTGTCTCAAGTGATGTAGCATATTGCTCTAACAATGGTGAGACATGCCTTCATGTCTCAAGAGAAGACATGGAATGGGTGGTAGATACTGCAGCATCTTATCACGTTACTCTCAACAGGAAATATTTCAAAACATACAAAGTTGGAGACTTTGGATCTGTGAAGACGAGAAATTCTAGTTCCTCTGAAATTGCCGGAATTAGTGATATCCAGGCAATGACAGGAACCGGGAGTACAATCCTACTGAACGATGTTAGACATGTGCCGGATCTTAGGCTGAATCTTTTTTCAGTGGTGGCTCTCGACAAAGAAGGATATGAAAATCACTTTGGTGCAGGCACATAGAATTGTCAAAGGGTGTTCTGAAAATTATCTGAGGGCATGTTTGTGGAACGCTATACAAAACACATTTGAAGATTAGTTCATAATGTCTCAATGTTGATGAGGAGGTTCCCAATATCATTGGCACCAGAGACTTGGTCATATGAGTGAGAAAGAGTTGACTACCCTAATAAAGAAGGATCTTCTTCAAGTGAGGAATTTATGGAAACTTGTTCTGCCCTTTGTTGTGTGTGTGTGTGTTTATTTTTTTTTTTTCGGGTGCAGTTGTGGAATGCATTTGAAGAATTTCCTGGACAATGGACAACAGACTATTGATCATGTACCAAAGAATAGTAATCACGCTGCGGCGCCTCATGTTTCAGATGCTAATGAATCTCGTGGGCTTGGTGTACACAAGGTAAAGTATATTTCCTGTTAATCTGATGAAAATGTTGCTTTTCTTGTACTTATATGCAGATCATGATTCTTGCAGGCTTTGGATATTGATGGAAATGCGAGAACACCAAACGAGGTTGGACCTCCTTCGTCTAGCTTGCCTTCACATTTCAGTATGCCGGTGCATAATATCTCGATGGTTCCCATAGTGGTGAGTTTCTGCCTCCTTTTGGTCTCTGATAGTACAATAGACTGGAGCTCCCATAATTTGAATATGTATCTTTCTGTATCTTGTTATTATAGACTGGAGCTCATTCACTTGCAACCGGGCTGAAACCTACCAACCCATTCGATTTTGACCTTCCATGTGATGCTGCCTTGGACTCTAGCTGTATGGTACGTTTCGTTACTAATGTCGTAAATATTGTGTAGATCAAATTCTTATTAACTTAATTTGTTAATTGTGTGCCTTATCTGCGAGCATAAAAAGATAGTAGATTTGCAGAGAACGTGTTTATAATTGAACAGGTTCATGGATTTTTTTTTAGTCGTTTAATTTTGTGAATCTGTTAGACTGACACAATTGCGCCAAAATAATATGTTCATGTGTTTACCTGTTAAATTATTTAATGATATTACTGCTTAGTATTCATAATTCCCACCATCCTAATAAATAATAATTGACGGGAGCCAATGCAAATGATTTCTTCATTGTCTCATTATTATCTCTCGTATCATTTCAGACTTGATTGAAGTATGCTAATCATGCATGCTTGCTTAAATCTCATATGAACTTTTAGGACTAGGTAAAACACCCGAAATTATTCCAAAAGCGGTTGGTTAAAAAAAAATATCGTGGCCACAAGGAAATGCAACTCTGATTTCGATCAAACACGTAGCCCAAATTTCTATAGTTGGCAATAGAAGAGTACAAGATTTATTCCTGTTTTGAGGTAGTTTCTACTGAAGTGGGTTTGTTTTTCTAATATTATGACATTGTGCTAATAGAATCAGTTCTGGCCTCTGGGACATGAGTTCATTGCAAGCAGCTCTACCAGATAATCATATACCAGATCCTTACGTCAGTGGGCCAAATAGGTCCTGGTTTCCAGAATTCTCTTACATCCTATGCTCCAAGTGGAACCACATTTGATCCTCCTCGTGGTATATTTTGTTTCTGCTTGGTTATTATAAATATGTTCGTTCATTTATTTACATATCACTGTATCTATTCTTTGTGCACAGGGTCTTTCGAATTTATAGTTGAGCAAGCGCCGAACACCAGAATGTCGTAAGCTTTTTTAACGTTTCTTCTTTGGCATTACCTTTTTTTATGGAGAGTATAAATATGAAGTTTTTCAGACTCACTACTTGAAGGGCTAAAAACCTACTAACATCTATGTGTTGATCATGAATATTAAAATATAACAGAAGAGAAAAAACAGTGGTTATATATCCTGATGGAGTCCAAATTAATTTTTTCATTTTTTTTTTTAATAAATAAAATATTTTTGGTAATTCTTGGAAAGGTGAGGTGGAATTACAATGTACAAGATTCTCATACTCAGTCTCTTGATGTCGTACATTTTTTCACTAGCTTTACCCATTAGCGCCGAAAAAAGTTAAAAAAAATAGAAAATAAATAAATAAAACACCAGCCTTACTAAGTAGTAGAGATGTCAAAGGGCCGGCCCGTTTAGACCAAAAAAATAGCGACCTGTTTAAATCAGGCTTTTTTGGCCTGAAGCCCGTTAAAACTAGGTCGCTTAACACCTCTTTTCTTTTGCAGGACTGTCTCTCAAGGCCCTTTTGCTGCACCTATTGGTGGAAATCCTTTTGCATAGTGTTTGACAACCTCTGTCAATTTGCATTATTTATATAGAACTTGTTTTGGCTGTTTGGTTTTGTTTGCTTTTTGGTTATTTTCTCCAGATGTGTCAAGAACCTCTGTAGTGTGTGATACTCAGTTCTCCCACTTTAGCGTTTGTATTCGTTATCGGCTTACAGAAACGAGATATAAATCCATTGAAAAAAAAAAAAAAAATTGTGTCCATTCTTTGTTGTATAATATTAAGGAAATCAGCGCATGTGTGTGAGCCTATTTCTTTGTCATAGCATGAGTTGTAAATAATGCTGCAGATGAACTTTAAATGATGGTTGAATGTGATGTACTTGGCTTTTGCTCATTAACTATTTTTTCTCCAGGTTCTGAATGGTTGTGTATATATCAGGGTCCAATTTGCCTGACTAATAGAAATTAGTACCTGACTTTGCTTATTATTATGCCAAGTTTGCTGTATAATGTGAATAGAGGGGCAACTTATTCATATCACAAGACAAATTAGGTTTGGTAGACAAATAAGTTACGTTATAGCTTATTTGGTTAGTTTATAAGCTTCTTGTATTTAAATAAGTTTTGTTTGGTAGGATGATTTTTTTTTTAAAAAAACTCGACTTTATTTGATAAGTTTCTTTAAATAGCTTTTTAAATAAGCTAGTTGAATTTTTTATTCCAACTAGTTTATCAGCTAATTTTATCAAACATTTTTATCATATAAACTAGTTTTTTTAGCTATAAGTAATAAGATATAAGCTCCAAAATTACTAATAAGTTATAAGTTACCTTATCAGCTAGTTTATCAGTTAGTTTTACTTAATATAGAAATAAAAGGGATAAAGCAAAAGGGCTGTTTTTTTTTTTTTTTTTTTTTTT